TGTAGCTGGAACAGACTAAGGTAGTATAGAACAAAACTATTATAAAAATATATTTTGGGGATCCCTGGATGGCTCAGCAATTTAGTGCCTGCCTTCGGCCCAGGGCGTGGTCCTGGAGTCCTGGGATTGAGTCCCACGTGGAGCCTGCTTCTCCCTCTGCCCATGTCTCTGCCTCTCTCTCTCTCTCTCTCTCTCTCTCTGTTTCTCATGAATAAATAAATAAAATCTTTAAAATATATATATATATATATTTTAATACAGGTAAAGTAAGTACAGAAGTGCTAAACATGTTACTAGGCATATAGTGTTTTCTTAAGTTTATGTCATTAAACTAGAATAGGTTTTTTATTATAAAATTTCAATGTATATCATTTTTTTTTCTTCCATGAGTCAGTGATGCCTTTGGTGTTTGTAATTTTGCTATTGTCTTTTTTAAAGGATGGAAATTAATTTATGTAGAAAACTAATCATTACTATTCAGCTTAATTCCAATATTATAGAGCAGAATAGCTATTTGAGCAAAATAGATACCTAAATTATAAATGTAATGTTGATTCATTCTTCACTCTTTCATTTAATAGATATTTATTGAGTTCATAAAATACTACAAGCACTTGGTTAAGTGCAAATGATGGTGAGTCATCGTCTTCATAGATTTTGCCATCTGGTAGAAGCCAGAAAGTAGAATTTAAAACATTTTCTACAAGTGCTGTGAGAGGGGAAATATAGTGTGCTCTTGTAAGAATTACATTAACCTAGACAAGGGGACAATGAAGTATTCCTTTAAAAAGTGAGGTTTTAAGCTGCAACCTCATGGAAATAACAGTTGACTTGGCAAAGGTGATGGGATATGGGGTTCCAAGAAGAGGAAATATCACATACAAAGATCCAGAGAACTTGAAAAAAATAGGGAGTCATTTAAGATCTTCAAGTAGGAGAAGGACATGATCAGATTTTCTAAAATCTGAAAGATCATTCTGACTAATGTAGAGTAGGGAGCATCAGAGAGGGCAAGATGAAAGCAGAAGACCAGTTCAGGGGCCAATATGGTAAGTTAGGCAAGCAGCGAGGGTAGTCTGACCAGAAAGGTACTAGTTATGATGGAAAGAAATGGATGGATCCTTAATGTATTTGTTAGGTGGAATGAATAGACAGTGAATGAACAGGTGTAGAGGAAGATGAGATAAGGATAGCTAGCTCTCATGTTTCCAGGCTGAGCAAAAGACAGAATAGAGACATTTGCTAGGACCAGAGAATGAGCAGGTCGAGGGGCAAGTAAAAGAACTGATAAATTATATTTTGTACTCAGTTCATACTGTCTGTAAACACCTATATATTTACTCTTGATAGCCAACAAATACTTGTCTATATGGATTTGAGGCTCAGGAAAGACTGAATGGTGGAAGAAACAGATAGATATTCCATTGTATAAGTCAATTTTTATATTATATAAATTTTTAAATAAGCTCTATGCCTAATATGGGCTTGAACTCACACCTGTGAGATCAACAGTTGCCTGCTTACTGACTGAGCCATTCAGGCACCTCAATAAGAAATAAATAAAACAGTGCCTTGGCACATGTTCATTTGTATGCTCTAAATATATAATCCAGATTAAGCTATTTTTTTTCCTATAAAAGATAAAACTAAATATATCACAATGCTTAGACTACTTTAACTGCTCCTATAGTACATAAGTAAGGTGATTTTAAAGTGTAAGGTATATTTTATTACATGGCAAGGACTTCATTATTTTTATCCAGGAACATGAAATAATGTTTAAATAATTAATAGTCGCTTAATTTAAAACGTCATTTTGGTTGTCTTTTAAAATAACTGTACTCAACTTCATGCTTTCTTTAAGGAAGCTTCTGATTTTTTGGGTTTTATTTAACATTATATGATCCAGGTATGAACGATTACATGCAAATGATTGTTTCAAAAGAAACACAAATGGTAGGCAAACAAAGTCAGTCATGAGTAGGAATATATTTATAGTGTAATTCCTTAGATCTAGATGTTCAAAAAGAGAGGCTTGAGTTAACATGTATCTGTGTAAAGTGGGAAGATATGGAAATGCAGTCTGAAGTAGATAGCTGTCCTTATAAATCTGGCTACTTCTTTCAGCACTGTGATGGATATAGCATATTTGTATGAGTGCCAATTAATCAGCATTATTGTTATAATTTGATTAGCTCATTACTGAGTTAGCAAAAGTCCTAAGAGGCGTAATGTCTCCAAAGTTTAAAATCTCCTGTATTTGGAGAAGCAAATATAATTGTTTAAAAGTCATGGATTTGGGACTCCATGACACAATTTTCTTATTTGTCAAATGGAGATATTACTACATAAAATTAAGGTGTTGTAATAAGAATAAAATGAAAGCCTCGCCAAAGTCTTGTGAAAGCCTTGCCCAAGAACCTAGTATAAGAATCTAGGACTAAATCTTAATACCTGGAAGAGAATCTTAAGTGACTTTCAGACCTGGAAGTGATGGAGTCTACTCATGGTATTAGTAAGGGGTAGCAAATGGGGATCTGATGGAATATGATTAAAAGCAGAGTTTGAAGAAAATTAAAACAGGCTCAAACATTATACCCTACACTGAAATGAAACTTCTTAGAAATAGGTACACAAGATTGGGGTTAATATTCAATAGGATTAAGGTAAGACTGCTGAGTCGGTGCTGTAGTTAGCCTGTCTCTGATGCATCTGGGCAGGTGTGTGGGGGAAGAATAGAATTTGATTGTTATCTTCAAGCAAAAGGAAGGAGTAGAATAGGTTTCCTTTGTAGCTCTGGGGAAAACTGACGTCAAGGTTCAGGATCTGTGAATATATTGTCAGGAATATGAGTGGAAAAGTAAGTTGGTGTAGAAGTCTTAGCAAATGTTAGAGTCAGTCCACTTCAGAGAAAAGCCAGATAGCGGCCATGGCATGCTTTTGAAATGTGTTTGCATTTGAGTACCATTTTTATTTTTTATTTTTATTTTTTTATTTTTTTATTTTTTTGAGTACCATTTTTAAATCAGAAGCAAAAAATATGTGTCTGTGTTTATGTGTATATGTTTTAATAGTAGCTAATGGCTTACCACCAAAGAGTTTGGGATTATTAATTTTCCTGTCATACCACAGTGTTGGTTTACTGAGATCCTAACTAAAACTCATATATTTTAATGGGTAAAATGCCACTTACATAAAAAAGAGCTTTGTTCTATTTATAGATCAAATTGTAGTGAAAGCTAGGGCAAATAGGTTTGGTGGTCTTTTTCTTGTTTTCTGAAAATGAAAAAAAAATAAGATTTTATTTATTTATTCATGAGAGACACAGAGGCAGAGACACAGGCAGAGAGAGGGAGAAGCAGGCTCCCTGTAGGGAGCCCAATGCGGGACTTGATCCCAGGACCCCGGGATCATGACCTGAGACAAAGGCAGATGCTCAACCATTGAGTCATTCAGGTGCCCCTGAAAAAAAAATTTTTTTTATATCTTGATATTTTAAGGGAACCTGACATATTATGAGCATGGAAACAAAAGATTTCCAAATATTTTAATACTATCTCTATAGGAAAATAAGTTTGGATTGTTGTCTAATGAAGCTACTTTCTACTAGAATCTTAAAATGAAACATAGGAGATGCTTCCAACTTGCCCATGCTTCCTCTCACCATTAATCCAAGAGTGAAAGGAGACAAGAATGTCTAACTTGCTTTGAAAATGGACATCTGAAATCTCTAAATCTCCTATTTCCACATTCAAATATATTGCTGTATATTCTATCCCTTTCCCTTAATTTCACGACTCTTTTTAGTTTTACCTATTGGAAACACACTTCCCAATATATTTCCAGTCAGAGAAATACACACTCACATGGTAGCTTTTTGCAGAAAAGGTAGACTAGGAATGATTGTTATTAACCTCTGTAAAACCCAGTACGTCTCAGCTCTTTGCATGTCCTCCCTCCTGGATTTTCAGAAACCCATCGGGTCTTCTGACAATCCTCCCTGCCGACCAGATGTACCTGTCTCTTGATGCTACAATATAAAACTCTATTTTTCCTTATAGACTAAGATCATCTATCATGACAACACAATTTCATGAATACAATTTAAGTTTATTAAGCACAACTGCTTTATATCTGGGTTTGCAGGCATACTGTGTCTTTCAGGCAAAGGAAAATATAAAACTTCTCACAGAAGAGATTAATTCTATTATTAGATTATCTGTTATTCCTGTTAATTGCGTAACTATGAAGTCTATAATGACAGAAACTAGGGAAGATTTTACAGGATGCTGATTCATAGATTTCAATAGTTAATGAAAGATACCTTTAATATAATATTCTTGATGTTCTTGCCAACTCCAGAGACAAAATTTCTAAAATCACTTGGACATCTGGTAAAGTTATAGTAAAGTTATCACTGATGTTCTTGGATATATGGGAATATGTACTCCTCAAGGCTAAAAAGGTCTCATAATTGATAAACGTCTGGATAAAGTTGCTTGTTTATTTGGGTGTTTACTTATTTGGTTTACTTATCTTTAATGCTCAATGGAGTTGGCATTAGCAGGAGAATAAGAAGACCTACAGAGTCAATAATATTGGGTATCCTGAATATTTTTAAATGTAGTTTTTGTTAAGTTGCCTTGATTCATAACAATCTGTTTGGATATCATTGACAGTTTTTGTTCTTCTTATCTCCATGAAGACCATCCTATGATGAAATTATGTTACACAGTAATCAAAGCAAAACCAGACCCATTTTTGTTAAATCATACTAGGGAATAAAAAATTACAGTAAGCTGCTTTTAGCACAGAAAACAGGGCTACAAATTAAAAGAATCAACATCTCAACTTTTGGTTGAGGATCAGTGCAAGTAAATTCAAAAACAAAAAAGTGTGAAACAAAAATCACTAGTCAGTTTTATTCTGCTTTAACACATTAATAGCTGTTTTCAATATTTACTTAACCTTGGTTTCTCCTGCATTGTTTCCAGACTTACCTGCAGTTGGAGCGGGCCTAAGCCTGGTGTTGCTGCGGCAGCAGCTGCCATGGTAGTTGGGATCAGCTGAACAGGGTAAGGGTCACCTAAGTAAGAGAATAATAGAGGTGTCAGCACCTTTTATCTACTCTCCACCTGCAAATTAAACTTGTGCATTCACTCTTTCCAAAAGCCTTCTTTTGTGTGCCTTGCTGGGGCCTAATGAAAAGCTCTATTGTGCAGCCTTTTACTAACACTCTTTTCACAATTCTGGCTGAGAGAGGAATGTGAATAAAAGGCACAAGCAATTAAGGCGGAAACCTCATCCTTTTTTCATGATGTATTTAGGAAAATGGGAGGAAAAAGTGTGCATTGATCAGAGTGCTGCACTTTGTAACACACACACACACACACACACACACACACACACACACACACACACACACCCCTAACAGTCTTGATACAAGCGCACCAACTCTCAGCACATTTAAAATGTTATTATAAAAGAAACTTAACTAAACTTAATTCCGTTTTAACAAACAAAAGATTTAAGTGAAATAGCTTATCTTTTGAATGCAATGTTATTGTTTTAATTCAGATATCCTTTTAAATAATGTTTTGTGGACAAATTCATAGCAAAGAAAACATTTTATGCATTTTTGTTATACAAAATACTGGAATCTTTGTTATCCTAGAGATAAATCTTTATAAAAACATATTATAAAGAAAACAGAAAATCAGTAGTTTCTCCTTGAAGGGTTTCTTTTTGTGGTGGTATCTGAAAAAACAAAATCTTAGTAATTCAAAATTAAAATTTTGTGTTTTTTTTTTAAGATTTTATTTATTTATTCATGAGAGACACAGAGAGAGAAAGAGGCAGAGACTCAGGCAGAGAGAGAAGCAGGCTCCATGCAGGGAGCCTGATGTGGGACTCGATCCTAGGTCTCCAAGATCACACCCTGGGCTGAAGGCAGTGCTAAACCGCTAAGCCACCCGGGCTGCACCAAATTAAAGTTTTAATACATGTGATCTATAAAGATATATAGATACACACAAATATATATACACATATATACACATATAGAAGATTAGAGGGTATGCTTTTGATGGAAATTTTTTCCACTTATAAAGCAGTACATACATTTTTTGTATAGAGCACAGTGATATGCTAACTGATAGGTACATTACTAGTATTTGAAATATAACCATAGTAAAAAATAAAAGATAATAATTATAAGAACAATTTTCTAAAATATAAAACATATTGTTTTAGTAATCTAATTTTTTTCAATTTATTTATTTATGATAGTCACAGAGAGAGAGAGAGGGAGGCAGAGACACAGGCAGAGGGAGAAACAGGCTCCATGCACCGGGAGCCCGATATGGGATTCGATCCCGGGTCTCCAGGATTGCGCCCTGGGCCAAAGGCAGGCACCAAACCGCTGCGCCACCCAGGGATCCCTAGTAATCTAATTTGTGAAAAAACTTTTTCAGTGTTGAACATATGGAAAATATAACTGAAAATAATCAGTTAATAAATTCCTTCAAAAATATTGAGTATTTGCTATGTATCAAACATTCCTCTCAACACTAGAAATAGAGTTTTAAAGAAGACTAATATGCAGTTGTATTTACTGGATATTTAATGAAGCTTAAGCTTTGGGGTTCTGGGAAAGGCCCCTAGCAGTCTGTTAAGAGGATCTTATGGTTTTATATTTGTTGCTTTTTTACTTTGTTGTGACTTCTTTTTACAAATGAAAAATCCATTTTTCAATTGAGTGTGTGTTTTTGAAGATTTATATGTAATCAAAATAATAATTATAAATAGAAAATTACATATATTCTTAAGGAGTGCACCCAAATTATGTTTTTCAGGCTTTAAAATACCTGAATCTACCTCTGCTGATCTGACTTTACCAGAACTTACAGCTTAATGGGAGAAAAAAAATAATTCAACAATTAGTAGAAAATACAATGACTGTTAAGATAAGGAAGTATATAGCATGAGGCACTACACGGTGGGTGCCCCAAACCCAGTACAAGAGGCCAAAGGTAGCCTCTAAGAAGTTATTTTTAAGCTGAATGAAGTGAAAGCTAGTCAGCGAAAGAGGAAAAGGAAGAGGTTTCCAGAAAGGAAAACAATTTTCATGAAGAGGTTTCTAGAAAGGAAAACAATTTTCATGAAGAGGTTTCCAGAAAGGAAAACAATTTTCATGAAGAAAATGTCAAAAGAGAGTGTTCTATCATAGCCCAGTTCCCACGTTGCTGAAGTTCAGGGCAGAGGTAAGGAAGCAGAGATAAATGGGACTGGAGAGGGAATCAGGGGCCAGATTATGTACAGATTTATAAACAATATGAAAGAATATTTATTCTATAGGATAAAGGAAACCATGAACATGGAAAAAGGATGGGTTGAGTAAAATCATTTGGCCTAGAGGCTGGAATCTGTGATCAATAATAACAAGATGCACAACTCTGTACAGCACATAATACGATCTTGCACTAGGGTGGTGATGTTGGTATGGAGAATGATGGGGAAAGTTAAGGGATTAAAAAGAAGTAGAACTGACAAAACTTAATGATTGTTTACATATGAGAGTAAGAGAGGACTCAAGGATCACTCTCACATTTTTTACTGAACAGCTGCTGATTGGAGTGGTACTATTTTTTGGGTTTGTAAACATAAATGAGAAGTAGGATTACCAGATTGGACCTGGTATGGATGGGGGAGGTAGAGTGGGGGTGGGTGGGTAAGTAAATAAATCTGTTTTGGACATTTTAAGTTTGATATTATTATTAAATATCCGAGAAGAGATGTTCATTGAGGCACTTGGTAAACATGTCAGGATTTTAGGGGAGAAATTTACATCGGAGACAAAAATTTTGGAGTGGTCAGCATATATCTGGAATTTAAAGCTATAAACTCTCATGATACAATTTAGGAGTTAACTGTAGATAAAATATAGGTCCAAAGGTTGGACTGTTGAATATGCTAATATTTATAGTCAGGGAGATAGGCAACTAGCAGAAAAGATGGGGAGAAATATAAATTTCATGTTATAGAAGCCAAGTAAAGAAAGATTTTCAGAAAGAATGATTTTTTTTTTTTCAAATGCTGGGTTTAGTAATATGGAAGTCATTGGTGACTTCAACAAAGGACATTTTAGTGGAGGAGGATGAGAAAGCCTAATTGGAGTGTGTGTGATCAACAGAGGATGATTGGGCACCTGGGTGGCTCAGTTGGTTAAGCATCTGCCTTCGACTCATGTGGTGATCCCAGAGTCTTGGGACTGAGCCCTTCATGGAGCCCCAATCAGGCTCCTTGCTCAGTGAGCAGTCTGCTTCTCCCTCTGCTCCTCCCCATTGCTCGTGCTCTCTCTCTCTCTCTCTCTCTCTCTCTCCCTCCCTCAAGTAAATAAATAAAATCTTAAAAAAGAAAACTGAGGATGATTAAAAGTAAAATTGGAAGCAGAAAGTGTAGATCCTTGCTTTTCAAAGTGAAGTTCTTGGAGAAAAGCATTGGTATCACCCTGGAGTTCCTTAGAAATGTAGGATTTTTTATCCTATCCCAAAGCTACTTAGGCAGAAAGTCTCTAAGCTGGAACCCCCAATGACTCCTACTTCTCAACTTGTATTAATGACCTTGTATAATTCCCTACCCTTGAATAGAAGCCAAAGTGATGAGATAATACTTTTGAGATTAGTTACATGAAGACTCTGGCTTGTCTTGTTTATCTTCTCCTCATCCCTACACTCATGTCTTGAACCAAACAGCTATATTAAGAGTTGCCCTATGGAGAGGCTCATATAGCAAAGGAATGATGTCTTCAGCCAACAGCAAGTAAAGAGATGAGGCCTGCCAATAACCAAAGGAGAAAGTTTAGAAGCAGATTCTTCTCCAAGTTGAGCCTAGAGATGACTACAGTCCAGACCAACACTCTGATCACAACTGTGTGAAAGATCCTGAGCCACAGGTATCCAACACAATTGTGTTCAAATAAATGTTGGTTGTTTTAAGCTGCATTTTGGGAGAATTTGTTAAAGCAGTAAGTATATACCTTCTGAATTAGAATTTAAATTTTAACAAGAGTCCTAGATCATTTGTACGCATTTTAAGAAGTGCTGACACGGACAATTCCACTGAGGTGTTTTGCAGTAGTTATTGAAGGATGTGCGATCAAGAAAAATCATACTTAAAATTACTTGTAAAAATTATAGAATGCTTGTATGCCAGTAAGAAATATCTAATAAGTAAAGAAAAACCTGATATAGGAGAGTGGACAAGTGACTGATGTTACATGGATAAGGTTTATCATTTATCATTTTTAATATTTAATCTAGAAAACACTAACTGAATTTATGAAGTAAAGGGAAGTTTAGGTGCTTAAAAGCTGAATATATACTATGCAAACTAGCCAAAATAACAAACATTAATGTATGACTATTAGAATAGGCAACTTAAATGCTAAAACTAGGTAATTTATTTAGATTGCTCATTTAATCAATAAAATCTTATTAATTAAATATAGCAAAAGTATAAAGGCTATGGTGCGCTTCACAGTGATAATTCATTTTATATAATTTAGTTTCCCTGTTGTGAATTAATCAATTAATCAGCACTTAAAACATCTACCATGTGTCCAGAACTCTGCTGGGTTCTTTGGGAGACAAAACCAAACTGAACCAAACCAAAACAAACTGTCATCTTTATCTACTACACATCTGTCTTTTCTAATTAAGTGCTTATTTGAGGAGTACTGACCATCCATGAGTTCTATAGAATCTAAGGGAGAAATAATTCCAGGCTTCAATCTTTAGAGAATAAAGGGGAAAGTGAGAATGAACTTGGACTTGAAGATTTGCAGATAGGAGGGGGGATACATGTTTTAGGCAGGGTGAAATGCACCAAAACATGTGTATACATGCTGAGGGAACAGAGAGAAATCAGTTTACCTGATAGGTGAGGGAAAGGAGGCTGAAGTCAAGGAGCTGGGAAATTTTTCATACCCCAGATTGGAGGATATTTGGATACAACAAGAAATGGATATAAAATGAAGTTTTAGCAAGTGTCATTAAAGAAATTAGGTAATAGGGGGGTTTATTTTAT